GGTAAGATTATGCTTAATAATATGAAGTGATATAGGTCTCCAAAATTGTAAGCTTATTTGACTATAAATCACTGCTATTGGTACAAGTTTGCAGTTTCACTGGCTGATCAAAGAACAGTCAGATTAAAATTTTCATCAACTCCTTCAGTGGTAAGCACTTTTTTAATCTCTTAGCAAAATGTTTCTCCAGCTTGTGCTTTAAAAAGAAATTAAGCTCATCACAATTGAAAAACCTCATGGTTTATGTGAAACGTTTTCCAATTTTATTGTAGTTTAGATGGGAGCCATCCTCTTAGAAACCAATTGCTTATACTTTTTTGATTTTTTTTTTTTTTTCCTTTTCTTTTTCTGATTTATAGTGGAATTTGCCATGTTTGCATTCTGATGGCATGTAAAAATATTTAATGCTTGTTTCTTATACAAAACAGAAAAACCAATATTTTATATAGTTTTAATCCACAGAAAAATGCTACTTTCTTGATCCGTGGAAAGCAAAGTATGTGGGCTGTTCTGTACTTAATTTTCTTTTGTTCAGCCTTTTTTTGCAAAATTATTTTGGTACTGTTTTATTGCTCAGTTACTGAACAGATACTGTTCTGCATATTTTTGTACATTTCTTTGGTCCACTTCCTGCTATAAAATATGATAAGTATATTATTAGAACTTTAAATCCTTGGATGTCTTAGTAGCATGATATTTGAGCATCAGTAATGGTCCTTTTAGCCAAAATCGGGTTTCTGTTTTCAAAAATGCTGAATGAATTCTGCAGGAAAACCTATTAGAACATATATTAAACTTAAATTGTATAATTTTAAAATAATATACATGTCACATTTTTTCAGTAGTAGTTAGTACCTGTAGTAGACGAGGTGGCCCGAAACTAAAGCAGTTTCAAAAATAGTGTTCCAGAAGAAGGCCTGTAATCAAAATTAATAAAATATTTATTATATATCTTTTAAATAAAGTTTGCATAATATTGTCGCATAGATGAGGAGATCCTACAAATGAACAGGCAAGTACAAGTCTAAACTCATGACTTTTTATTAACTTGAACTGAATGAAGAGCTACTTATATATAGCTGGTGAACATGCTGAAACATTCCAGACATAGAATGTTCTGGAAGAATAAGAAGGAAATTTACATAGATAACATTTAACAAGAAGGAAATGTACATAAAAACCAATTATCAGGCATCTCGCCGTTGATGGGTTTCGAACCCGGGACCTTCGGGTTTCGAGTCCTACGCTTTCTCCGCTAAGCTATGAGGAGCTCGGTCGAACAGAGCAATTTTTGCTACGATATGAAAAGTATTGTTGAATAGAAGTATCACACTGTAGTATAAATGATATATACTTTTTGAGAATATAGTATAAATGATATTTGCTTTTAGAGAAAAAGGCATAATAAAGATCTGCCTTTTGATTAAATTGGTAAAAAATGAGCCCTTTATCTGACATTTTTTGGGAACCATGCGTAAACTATCTGGCTATTGAGATTGTACTTTAATAAGATAATAAAAACATGTCAGCTAATCAGCTGTTATTCTTATCGTCTAAGTAAGGTCTTCAAGCATATTTTTTAACTTTAAAATTCAGTGATGTAGTATAGATCATTAACCATATGTTAATTTTGCCATGACTCCTGGACTTCCACCTTTCTCCAAATAAAGAATAATGGCTTGAATTTGTTAAAGGAAAACTGAATAGACTTTGAAACAGAGATAAAGCTCCATTTGTAGAGACCGTTACTTTTTTTAAACCAGGCAGTATGAAAAGTTTGTTTCTGTGCTTTTGCATATATTTGAATCATGGATCTACTAGTTTCTGGCTAGAACTTATACCATGAAAACATATGCAGGAACATGTAATAATTCACTGTTTTCTTTCCTACTTAAAAGGAACTAGGAACAAGCACAACATGTAGTCAACCAGGTCCAAGTGTTGACGAATTATTGTCTATCACATTTTAGTATGGGCAGTGTTAGGTTTTCCAAAGCTAGTAAACATGAAAAGTCAGCTGTACCCTCACTATGATTCAAGCCATGGATTTCCCATTTACTAGTTGAAAATCTCTTACCAATTGCACCACAAGAGCACACATTGGAAAATGGAATAATTCTCTGCACATTCATCGCCTTAATGTTGCAATCAGTATAGCAGGTCATCAAGAAGGGGCCATGCTGTATGTCCGATGACCCAAAGAGACAAGATAGAAGTGGTATTTCAGTGAATGATAATATCTGGCCACTTTCAGCTTTTGCTGAAGATCAGAAACATTGTTTATATATATATATATTTATTTTCAGCAGCATGTTGCGGCTACACACTACTCAGCACAATTAATGTGCCTGTTCCAAAAGGCTTACATTTTTGATAATTTTGTAGCAAGAAAGCAGAGCAGACAGACAGGAATGCAGCTACGCCAAAGCATGGAAAGCAGGTGCGTAATGTTCAGGATGAAATCCTAAGTCAGACTGAATTAGTTTTGGTTCTCAAAGCATTTTGATTGGATAGTTAATTTTGCTGTAAAATTATTGTTGGCTGCTTGAGTTTTAGTTCAGTTTACATTATCAGAATTATGTAAGAGTCATACGGCATGGATTTTTCTCGAAATGACGCAGTGCAGAGAGGGGTTACTATTTTTAGAATAGAGAAGGGAAATTAATTTATGCTGCACTTTAATTTTTTACATATTCTTTTTCTTATATATATATATATATTAAGGAGAGCACACCTTTACTGAATTTACTGAGCATTCAGCTTCTAGCATTACACATATAATAGATTTTCTAAAAGCCATTCTACTGACCTCTTTTGATGTAGAAAGAACATCTTCTGGTATTGAATTATATATCATAAAAATTGAGAGCAATTGTTAGAGATAGTAGCATAAACACTGAGTTTTTAGTGAATCATTTATGAAATTGTTTTTAACATAAGTTTTGAAATTTCATATAAATAAAATTTCTTTTTAAAAGTTTGCATTAGGCATTATTGTTCATCAAATTTGTTTTAATTTCAAATTGCAAGTGCAGAACTATTATGTTTGTCTTTTCTGTTTCTTATCATACATATAATTTTTGATTGAAATGGTTTACATTTCTTTAATTCATGCACTTCATGAGATATCAGAAGATTTGAGAGAAATTACAAGAATGAAAATGTTGTATATTTAAGAAACTCTATTTCCAGTTGTATCTTAGGAGCAAATTTCAGGACAACACCAGCCACATTCACAGTGGACCTTGCCGTGGAAAATAATGAATGGAGTAATTGGAAAGTGATTTCATTTCTTCCATGAGACCTCATGTAGGGTGGGTTGCAGGAAATGTGCATAGAATGCAGTGTTTATAGTTTGCCCATTGGGTCTTTATGAATAAGGATCATATAACAGCAGCTAGCATTGTGCCATACATATATTCTTTCTTTAGATCTGGAAAACCATCATTGCACAAATTCTTGGATTAATATTTCAGATGAGCTTCATGTGAGCATGCTCAAATTTTATCCATTGTATGATCATGCTCGTACTGTATTCAAGAAAATGATTTTTTATAAAAATTAATCTTATTCATGATTGTAATTTTCCAGACGAATCCTAGCAACCTTGAAATGCTGCCAAGTTTCAACCCCACAAGCACATGAGGAAACCAGTGCACCACACGTACAATTGTACCTTAAGAATATTAAAAATGGTTGTATAGTTGAGACCAGTCATACATGAGCTCTTAAGTTAACCTAATCATCAGCCAGCAAATCAGGCATAGTTGTTACTTGAAGATTTGAAACAACTAGTTGTTCAGGCCTAAGTGTGTTGCTGATGTTCTAGTATCCCTTCTTCAAAGTGTTCTGCACTTCTTTGTTGCAATTCATAGTAATGCATTAACTCTACAAGCCCCTATAAGTCCCTGGTAGCATTTCTTTGCTGTAGAGTCCCTTTCAGTTTTTGTTTCAAGCCAAGAACTCTGCTGTAATTTGAAACATAAATTTGTTAGCTGTGTTCAGCTAACTGTATAATGTAAATATGCACAAAGCATATTACAGGAAGGAAGGAAATGTTATAACCATTATGCTGATGGGAGAAGGCTCTGTAAGGATTACTATCATGATCACAAATATCACTATTTCCCTTCAGTGCTGCAGTTCTCACTATTAAATTCTGAACTCTTGCACAAATGGGGAGGATACACATTTGACACTGGAACTGAAAATATATTCATATATGAGAATGAAATGTGTATTTTAATTAGTGGAAATTCTTTTGTATGTAGAAGAAGTAAGTAGGAAAGGGGGACACACTTTTTTTTTGTGTGTGTTTAAAAGTTTTATACAATGATGGAATTATAGGGTGTTGAAAAAGGAGATGATTTTAGTTACTTGAAAAGTTTGTTTTTCGTATAGTACTCAAATAAATGACACATTACATGATAGTCCAAAACAATGTTTTATGTTTGCTTTTCTCTGAAAAGTGACATGCATGAATCAGTTAGTGATTTTTTGTTTGAGGGGGGGGGGAAGCATTCTAACTCGGCAACACTTAAAACATGTACTTATACAAGTTGTGAAATTTTTATAATATGATCCTTAAGTGTGACATCTGGATGACTTTTCCTGGAAAATCACTTAGGAATTTGGGTTTGGGAGGTTTGGAAGCTAAAACTGCAATCCTCAGTCATCTTGCTTACTTAAACCGATCCACTTATGAAAAAATGCTTATGTTCACTTAACCTAAATTCGGCTAATATGCTGAGGAATAGTGACTGTGATTGTCTTCTCTTTCATTGCAGATGATTTGTGACATACTTTTACACCACATGGAGCAACAATTATGTATTAAAATAAAATATGCTTCACTTTTAAACATACTAATTATTTCATTGAAATCTCAACTGCTGATATTCTTACTGTGTTTTTCATATTTTGTGGCTATATTTTCGCTCATTTTGTGTTTTAAAGTTTTATATTTTTAATGACTCAATAAAGTTAAATTTAACTTTCAGGCTGCTACTAAACCTCCTGCTAAACCTCCTAGGAAATCTGTTAGTCCACATTCCTCAGAACCAAAAAGTGCTGCTTCACAGAGGAATGCTTATGAATTCCTTTGCCTTGCATCCAGTAGAGTCAGTGCTAATTCTTCAAAGTTCCTTGACAGAAATAAGAACAAGCACGATGGATATAGTTATGTTAATCTTCATCATAAATCAGACTATGTTGATATGTCTCTTACTAATAGAGGTATTGCAACATATGAAAATCATGATATCATATGTGCCAATGGACTAGATATTGATAAGAAATCTTCCAATAGTGAGAATAAATGGAATTCACATTTTTCTTCCTCAACTAGCAAATTTTCTGAAATACTACCATTTTCTTTGTTCTGTGATGATGTGCACAGAAAAGTCAATTCTTTTAATAATCTTATGCCATCTAAAAGTACTCCAGCACTCCATGCCTCTAGACATACTTTAGATCAAGTGCTTCCTGTTACTACTAAAGAACTCCATGCTCTGAAACCAAATCACTTAAATTTGAAAAAAAAGAGAGCTTCTGTTCAAATACCCACAAGTCCAACAAATTATCAGCAACCACCAACGCCTGATAATCCACCGCCATCACCAGGTACTGCAGAAATAGGTATTCATGAAAAAATTCATCCTGATGGACAGGTAAAATATTTCAGTTGTTTTCTCAACTATTATTATTTATTTATCCCCCAACTTTCCAATTTATTCAGTCTAAATTGTGTGTATTTTTTTTCTCATAACTAGAATAGAAAATAGCTCATAAAAATTGAACTGAATAATTGAACTTTCATGAATAAACTCCGAAAATGAATTCAGGTTGTATGTACTTGTAAAATAATCTTTAACTTAATCTTCTAAATCTCATATTTACTTTGCTAATTTTGTTTCAACTCTGGTTGTGTTCCAAAGTCTCTTCAGTCCTTGTCCTTGTTTCCACACAAGATCTAATGCTTATGTTTCTACATATAGTAGGTAATGATCACGATCTTTGAGACATGGATTTAGAAGGCGATACTGTATCGGTTACAAGAAGTTTTCCTTGTGAAATTCTTTAGAAATTCTGCATAAAAACAATTTTTTTCACAGGAATTGATATGTTAGAGTTTATTATTTCAGTGCAGTTTCTTTATCAAAATCCAATATTTTGGACCTGATTGATGCTAGACTTAGTATAATAAAAAAATTTACAAGTTAATCGTTTTTCTTTAAATTTTCTTTAATTGTTCAAAGTTGAACTTTGTAGTAATTATTTATCGTTTTTTAACTGGAAATAATTTTCTCTTTTTTATCTGTACATTATGAAATTATAACTGTGCAGTTTTCAGCAAATATAGATATCGTAAATAATAACAGAATGACCACATATAAATAAAATAAATCTAAATTGATCATTCACTAACATATACACAGCCTTTTTATTGCAGCGAAATTTTTCATGATGGCAATGATCAGTTCTCTATATTTATGAGGAAATTCTTAATGAAACTGAAAGCTTTAATGAAGAAATACTTACTGAAACTGAAAGCTTTTAGTGCTGTTTCATTCTAGAAAGTGTCTTGTCTAATCCGAGATCTGTAGTGTGTCTATAATCTGAAATCTGCAGAAACTATTTCTATTTCCACTCAGGTAGAATAAATGAAAAACTGAAGGTGATTTTTATTAGAAAGTTCTTATATTATGAATTTCTATGTTGAATTTTTGAATAGTGAAAAATGGAACAAAATCATAAATTTTCATGCATTTTTAATACAAAGTACTAATGATATTTGGCCATTATTGGTATGATGGTAAAACAGCCAACCCATTTGTTAAACAAATCTTGGCAAATGGGCTGGCTGCATGGAATCTTTGTATATTCCCATATGTAATATAAGTGCAGGCCACTTTCTCTTAAAATGTTCTTTGAAGGTATTCCTCTGTTAAGCAGATAATTCGCTTAATGAGTACTAATTTAGCATATTTCTGTCATTATACTAATAAAATTAGACTTGATTTTTAATACCATAATTTCAGTTTTTTCCCCATATTTTTTGTTTTGGGTAGTATCTAAAATTAAGGTAGTCAATATTGATTATGAGGCAAAACAATGTTAACATCATGCAGTAAACCTGCATTTTTTAAGACAGTTGGTTTACAAGCAATGCTTAACATTTCTTTCTAGAAATCTTAGCAACACAGATTTATTGCCATTATTGCGATTTTATTTAAATAATAAGTCTGAAATCCTATCAGTTCCCTTTCTTTTAAAACATTATAATTCATATTTATAGTCTGAACATCATTACTTAGTGAAACAGATTATTGTAAGTTTTTTGTCCCCTTTATATGAGAAATATTTATTCTTGATTTGCAAAGTCAGGTTAATCAAAAATTAGAGGAATGAAATGCTAGATGGGTATATGGTTTGGTCAAAAAAAAAAAAAAAAAAAAGGTGATGATGATACTAAAAATTTTTTCCACTGAACTGTAGAATAACTGATCGTTTTGAAATGTAGCAATGACCTTACTGAATGTTATAAGAGAGAAAGAGGTTTGTGACAACACATAGTGAGTGTGGCAGTGGCCATGTAAAGTTGTGTTATGTGCAGCAGTAGTTAACCTGCAGTTGAACACTTTTTTTTCTTTATTTTTTACTTATTCGAACTCTTTTGTAACTAATAAAATAGGCTTCAAAAGGCAGCTCAAAATGCAGAGAAATTGCTATTCAAAATAAGAAAATAATTGAAAAGAAATCATATTAGGAATCATTACATTCTATCGTGCATATTGTAATTACACCTGGAAAATCTACAGCTTGAATCTTGGTAGTGAACAGTTCATTTTTCTTGTTTCTAGGCTCCGAAATGTGTGATAGTTTTCACAAGGAAACTCGAACTAAAAATTATGGTAGGCAATATTTTGTCAGCATAGGAATATTTTCAACTAGAGATATTGTAAAAAATTATTGTTATAGCTTTTATATGCTCTTGTGACATGAATAATAGCACATCCAACAATCTGTTAGAAGATCTGCGGTACGAATCCTGCTGGCTTGCTTGACATGTGACTTGTTTTACGGGAGCTCCATTGTGAGCACATGTTTTCTATATTCTACACTTATGGTATTTCGTGCTGAATGCCTCTGGATTTTCTGTCGAAGCTGGTGGTGTTCTGGGATATAAATTATGGAAGCACAAGATGTATGTGATTTAGTTTAAGATAGTGATCTTCAGACATGGATAAAATACTTAAGGATTTGCTCGCTAAAAAGAAATTCGACGCTGTGGGCTTTATTAATGCTACTGGATTTCTAAAAAGCACTATGGATTTCGGTAAAAAATTTCGTAATATTTGTGAATTACCTATTAAGGAAAATCATGATGTGGATGCTGTGTTTCAGAGACTCTTCGCTGAAACTAAAATTAAGGAAATGAAAGCCAAATGCAAAAACTTATTATGTAAGAGCGAACATTTTAGGGCACATAATAGTTCTATTGCTGATTCTGTTATTGTAAATTCTGATGTTAAGGAATGTTGTGTTTTAGGTAAAATGTCTAATGATAGTGATAAAATATTAATAATTTATTGAAATGTGCTAGTAAACCCAGTACTTCTAATGAATTACTGTTCTCTGATTATGTTAAAAATAGTAAAGAATTAGAAAAATCTGGTAAACTTAAGCATAATTCTAAAAAATGTGCACAAAATTAAACCACATTGCTTGGACGTATTTACTTCCCCTAGGAAGACCACCAAGCCATGTAAAATGTTAAAAAACAATGTTGATATTGCAATCTCGAATAAATTTACCTGTGTTAAACCTTTCAAGGTTGTTATTCAAGGGTAACCCTCTGACTGTCATAAGGAGGAAATTAAAGATGAGTTAACACTTTACCGACAGATCTCTTTGTCTTTGTTTGGAATGGCTAGGTGGCCTTTAGCAGCCTCCCCTGCTTTTACCACTGCTGTTGAGAAATTGCCAAAAAGGCGTTGGGGAGTGATTATAGGTAATAACACCACGCCGAAAGGCGAAGCTGAGTCAAGTACATTTAGTACGTGAGGTGAAAACTTTTGAAAACGAAAGTCCAAACATCTGGGGCATTCATTTCTCTTCACTGCTAGCTGTCCGAGCTGGGAGCAATTCTTCACTGGTATCTGGAGCGTGATTCGTCGAGGCCAGTCACGTGGGTGGTCACCCACCCAAGTACTGACCCCGATAGCTGCTGGAAAATGAACTTAGGCGAGCCTAAGAGATGGGGAAAGGAAATGTATGTATAGTATGAAGATCTGATATTTTCTTCTGTTGGAGAGGAAAGGCTCAGGTGCTGGGCACATCAACAGGCTCCTAGGCTGGGAAAGCCACATCCTGTGTAATAACTTGTGTAAGATAGCATATCTTTCTCTGGCATATCATGGTAAAGTTCATAACAGAGAAAAATTGTCGTGATGAACAATGAATGTTATAAGCATTGGGTGAGCCTTGCGTATGTACAGTACTAAGAGTCAGTCGAATCATAAGTTGGAGATGTAAAAAGCATAAATTTGAGTAACATATGCTACTGCAACGTCTTCCGGCGCTCAAATGAAGGAGGAATAGATTGAAGAGCAGGTCTAGGAAGTGCTGGGAGGAGCTACTGGGTCACGTGAAAATTAAGGTGGGGGATCGAACCCACGATCTCGATGCACGAAGAAAACCTAGTCTGCTCTTTACGACTAGGCTACGATCGCTCTTGGAGAGTTAAATGAGAATTTAATTTGAGTCTTCGGCGAATTTAATCAACGATATCACAGCCTGGAATCCCAGCATAAATATTTCAGCGGCATTTTTTGCAGTTCTTATTTTCTGAATATGATTTATGATGTTACGTAGTAAATTACTGATTCTTGAGTCTTGTATCCATGCTATTGCTTCATTTAAATCTTCTGGGGGAGGTTGGATATTTCTTAGCTGTTTTCTTCTGCTTTCTGCATTCTGGTTATTTGTGCTTCCTGCTCTCGAAGTTGAGGGTAATGACGGAAAGTCTTCACATCTGGGAGTGAATTTCGGCATTTTCGGTAAAAGAGGTTTTCTTTCAAATTTCTTTTTATATACAGAAAATCCATGATATGAGGATACATGTTGTTCGTAACAAAAAATACAGGTAGGTTTTTCTTCAGGTTTGAGACGACAGAATTTACTTCTGTGATGTGCTCCACATTTGCAGCAACGTTTAAGTTTCGTGCACAGGTGTTGGGAATGTCCATATTCTTGGCAGCGAAAACATTGTATAATTCTTTTTCTTGGTTGATATTTTTCAATTTTAACATTTACATTAAACATATTGTTGAGGTTACATATGGCGTATCCTGATTGATTTTTCTTCAATTCGATTAAAAAGATGGGTAGCTTCTCAAAGTTATTTTTCTGACTTCGCGTAAATTGTTTCACTTTAAGTACGGGAAATTTTCTTCGTTCAAGATCATCTTTGATCAGTTCTTCTTTCATCGTTTTCGAGAGATTTTTTAGGATAACTTTCAGCGGCTTCTCGCTCTCAAGTCTGTAAGTATGAAAAGGTATGTTTCGTGCTTGCAGTAGTCGAGTGGCATCCCTGTATTCAGTACCAATCTTTACATTAACGTAAAGTGACTGGGTTTTCATCTCTGCTTCGAATTCTTCTGTGCATACTGAGTATAGTAATTCTCTTATCTCCATCCAGTTCACGTCTTTTTGTGAGAATACAATAGGAGGAGGGGTTTCTCCGATGTTTGAATTTTCCATGTTTGTTTCATTTTCTTCGAGTTCCTTGAATCGATTTTCTGTTGAGATTTCCATTGGCGCGAGTGCTTGGGGTATCTTTGCTGTTTTTCCGGGAGAAGTCCATTCGCCTTTCTGTCTGTTATCCTTCTTTTCATCTTTTGAAGTCTTGTCATTCTTTTTTGGGAATTTGTCAAGTAAAATACTGGCTCCTTGTTGTTTAATAATTTCCACTAATTTTTGCATTTTCTCATCTTCAGTCAACTCGATCTGAGAGTTTCCACTCTCTGTTAATTTTCTTTCCTTTTCGTGCATAGTTTTCTTCTTTTTATGATTTTTCGTATCCAGAGGAGTGACAAAGTCCTTCAGCTTCAGTGGAAGTTTCTTCTTGCTACTGGTAGACTTTTCAGATAATTCCGTATCCGTTAAATCATAAGTCCTCT